CCCGCCACCCCCCCGCGGGGTCCCCAGCCCGGGCTGTGAGCCGGGACCGATCCGATTCCCTTGGGGACGGAACCTCGCCACCGACTTGCCAGCACGTTACTCCACCTAGAACTTTGCCTGTTGCCTAAGCGTTTCCCACACTTCACCCTTATCGCTGGTGCCGGTTCCCCAGGTTCAGAGAACCCGGGTATCTAACCTGTCTTTGTACAGGATTCCCTTTCCCTCACCGCTGTGACAACAGATTAATACTCCCATGTCTAGATGACTCTGAGCAGCACAGGAACTTACTAGAGTTTTAAGGAGATGGCGGTGGCTTTCAGGGTCCAGATGAGGCTTACCCCTGAGAAATAGTCGCACCACTCAGTTTGGAAACGACTTTGCCGTTCTTTTTCCCCTGGAGGGAGGGACAGCCAGGCCCCAGACATTAGGATTCTTACATTCTGGAAGGACTTTCTCCCTATAGAGCCTTGTCTGATCTTGGAAGTGATAAGGAGGAAGAAAAGAAAAGAGAGGGTCCCAGAAAAGCCTGTGGCGCCTGGATACCTGAGAGCAAGTGAGGTCATAGGCTAACTGCAGCTTTGGGTTTTTTTTTTTTAGTTTTTCCCCTGATAGACGACTCTGACAAGCCACCTGACTTTCTCTCTTCCTTAAAACATGAAATGTACTTAATTTTGCTCCTCTAGCTGTTGACGAAAGTGAAGTAATTAGGAAGGTGCAGACCTTATTATGAAAATAAAGTAATTGGTGAAGCTCACAGTGTGGGAGTCTTCCCAGGATCCCAGGCCCTTGGGAGTCCAAGTTACCAACTGCATTTAAACTTCTAACCTTCAAAAAGCACCATCCTCCCGGGACTGCTAAGGGCAACGCTAGCAGCCTTGGTGAACCAGGAGGCCCCGGATCTCCAGTTTATTTTTCAGTAAATACTTTATGGCAGGTCACATTTCCCAAGGCAGATTTCCTTGACTTTTTCCAAGCCCTAAGAAATTTTTTTCTGTCTATGGTATTTTTAACAGGAACTTATTTATGTGGCCCTTTCCTGACTTCATCGTTCTTAGGTCCTTACTCTCAGTGTTTCTTTTCTTCCTGTTTCCCTAAGAATTCTCCCAGATTTGTTTTTGAATCTCTAAAAGCCGTCTTAAATCCTTCTCTGAACAAGGTAGGTAATAAATACACAAGAATTCTTGCATCAGTTATAGTGTCTCAGGAGGTCAAGCTTTAAACTGGTCATCAAGTTACTTTTCACGGTTGATTTTATAAACTAATTGGGACTTCGTGCCTCCTTACGATATCGTGGTGCCTTGACTTTACCGTCGAGTTAATCATTATTTGTTTTCAAAAGTTGATCACTAATCATTTGAAGATGCAGTGGTTAGCAAATAAAATCTCCAGCCTTAGTGCCCTCCCAGGGGAAATAATTCAGTGCTGACTGCAAGGCACACCAGTGATTTCTTAACAACACAGAGAAGTAAAACACTACACAGTCCCTGAGTGTAATGCATTGATTATAAGTGCTCTGTTGGTTTTATGGATCTTCAAATATGGAGAAAAAGAAAAGATAGCTCTGAAAGATGGTAAAAGCTACTTTTTATTAATTGCTAATTAATCACCAGTCTCTAGCCCAATAATTAATATAAATTTTATCTATACACCACAGCTCTGAGCTGAAATTCTTCTTCCAATTTTGTAAATGCAGAATTGAAGTTTAAAGAGGCTAAGCGGTAAATAGCAAGTAAATTGAACACATGTAGGCTCTATTGGTACAATATAAATTATTTAACAGTGAGGCATTCAGAACACAAAATAGACAAATTGATTTCATCTAAGAATTAAGATATGGAGATCTGTTGATTGCCGAAGGCTTGGAGAATCTGTTCCCAGACATTTCCGTCAAGGTTGGAATTACTCCACGGTGACCTGCTCCTGCCCTTAGTGCCTAGATTTTTAGTAACAAAGCAGGTAGAACTTTAGCTCTTTTCTGCCTATTCTGTTCTTACCCCTTGAACCCCAAATGCACTCGGCTATGAAAGAAGTGATTGAAAGAGTGGAAGTCCCCCTTTCCTCTTCTTAGCCATCTCTCTCTCTTTCTTTCTCCTTCTTCCCCTTTCCCTAACCTCATAGTGCAAACACCCATTGACCTCTTATGTGCCAGCTGCTGCTATAAGCAGTTTGCTCATAGGAGCTCATCCTGTGATGTCAGCAGATCTTTGAAGAGAGAAGAAATCAAGCGATCCTCAGAGTCATTCAGACTATAGGCGCTACCACCATCCTCAGGAGGCTTAATAAGATCACACAGTGTTATTGTTCTGTACCTAGATTATCTCACTTAAATTGTCTTCCAGATCCTTCTTTTTGTTCTTAAACCTGAATAACATTCACACGTGTGCATTTATAACTCTTTCTCTACCACTCTGTTTATGAACACTTACCTGGATTCTAAACCTTAGTTATTATGAATAATACTGCAATGAATAGAGCGTGCAGGCCTCTCTTTGCTATCATTTCCTGTAGATGTATGTCCCATGGTGGGATTGTCAGTCATGTGTTGTTGTAGGCTTGATTTTTAAGGGCACTGTTTTCCATACCTGAGCTGATTTACAATGGCTCAACAGTGTAAATGAATTTCCTCTGCTTCTCATCCTCTCTGGCACATGCCTCTGAACTTTGGGGCCCTAGCCTTTCTTACAGATTTGAGCTGTTCTCTTTGTGGTTTTAATTTGCATTTCTCTGGTGCTTAGTGATGTTGAGTACTCATTCCGATTCCCTATGTCCACTTGTAAGACTTCTTTTGAAAAAGGAAGTTTGTTTTTTAACTCAATTGGTAATTTTTTTCTGTTGACTTTTTTCCACTTCCTCCTATTGTTTGGCCGTTGGTCCATTATTCAGTAAATGGCTTCTAGATATTCTGAAAGTTTTCTTTCTCTCTATAGATTGTTTCCTTGGTCAGACAGAAGTTTCAATTTTAAGATAGTCCCACTTGCCTATTTTTTTTTCTTGTGGATTTTGCTGCTGTTTATTTGTTTAGCTGTTCGGTAGTTGGGGAGTTCATATCCAAATAATCATTGCCAAATCAATGTAGAGCTTTTCCACTATGCTTTCTTCTAAAAGCTTTGCACTTTCAAGACTTGCAGCTAAATCTTTATTCAATCTTTTTGAACTGGATTTATAGCTGGCGTAAAATAAGATCATTTGATTCTTCTGCCTATGGAAGTCTACTCACCCCAATGACACTCTTGGAGATACTCTCCTTTCTCCATTACATGTTCTAGGCAACTTTGTGGAAAAACACTTAACTGTAAACATGTGGCTTGAGTTTTCTGAGCCTGCCCTTTAGTCTGTTCTATTGCTTATATGTCAGAGTTTATGCCAGTACCATACTGTTTTAATTATTAGAGTTTTGTAGTACACCTTGAAATTAGGTAACATAATACACTCACTGATGTTCTTTGTGCTTTCACTAGGTTTTAGTTTTGGTTTCCCTTTTTGAAAGCATATTATTTTTCAATTCTTTCTGAAGTTTTAGAGACACCTAACTTTCTAAACCTTTTCAAGATTTCCACTCTAGGAATTTTATCACTAAACATAAGTCTACCTTCCTTTATGTTAAGATATTTTCTCATTCATCCTAAATGCCTGCATTGATGATCCCTGCCAGTTGTTTTTTAAATGGTTTTTAAAAGTAATTTTGAAACACCTCAATTATGAAGTCACACTCACATATTTTACCTATTCTGTGTCTTTTTTTAAATTTTTATTTATTTTTTTATGTGTATACGTGTATTGCCTGCATGTATGTAAGTGTACCCATGTCAGGTAATGCCCGTGGAGGACAGAAAAGGTCATTGAATCCCCTGCAACTGGAGTTTTGTTAGCTGCCATGTGGGTGCTGGGATTTGATCCTGGGTGCTGGGATTTGAACCTGCAAGAACAATCAGTGTTCTTAATCACTGAGCCATATCTCCAGCCCCCTATTCTAGGTGCCTTTACCTCCTTGTTTGTTAAGCCATTTCATCAGATGATTTCAGTTTTTGTTACTTTGGTAGAACTATGACCAAAGTAACTGAGAGAAGAGCTTAAAGGATGAAAGATTTATTTTGATTCACAGTTTCAGTCATTCCATGGTTGCTTGGCCAGAATGTTTACACAGAATATCATGGCAGTGGGCACACCTGACAGAGGAGGTTCCTACCTAATGATGACAGGAAGCTGAGACAGGAAGGGGCTTGGAAAAGGATGTAAACTTCAAAGGCACATCCTGTCCACCCTAATGACTTACTTCCACCTGGGCCCTACTTCCCAAAGTTTCTACCACCTCCCACTATGGTATCATTGGTTCAGGTCCAAGTGTTCCGCACATGAGTCTGTAAGGAACATTTCATATTCAAACCACAGCATCCTTTGTGTATATACTAACTAGGTCTGACCAGGCCATGCTCCCAACGCCAGGCCTTAGTAGTTTTCAGTTCAGATTAATTAACCCAATCAAATAAACAGATATTGTGATACATCTATTTTTGAACCAAGCATTTTGACATATTTTTGACAACTTTTTTATCCCTCAGTGGGGCTGAGAACA